GAAAAAGCATGAATGCACTACAGGTGGAACACTGTGGGCAGTATTAATTGCAGATATAATTCCATGTCTACAAAAATGTGTGGCTGCTTTGAAAGGCAGGCCCATATATGCATATGATTATTCTAAAAAACAACAAGTAGTCCTGTGGCACCTTAGAGACAAACAGAGGTATAGGATCAAAGGCATAGGATAGAGTCATAGAACATTAGAACTGAAAGGGACCTCGAGAGTCCAGTCCCCTGCCCTCCCGGCAGGACCAAGCACCGTCTAGATCATTCCTGATAAATGTTTAGGATCATGAGCTTTTGTGGCTAAAACCCACTTCATCAGATGAGTTGGAGTGGAAACACAGGATCCAAGATATATATAACAGCAAAAACAGTTATCTGTCAATTGTAGGTCCCTTGTTAAGGAAGCTTATTAAGAAGGCTGGATGTGTCCCATTCATAGCTATTGGCACGACACATTCCAAAGAGGGCTGGGGACCCAGGTCAGGGCAAAAGAGTCTCTGACCTGAAGATTATGCCCAGGTTCTGTGCCTGAGAACATTCATAGCTATTGGCACGACACATTCCAAAGAGGGCTGGGGACCCAGGTCAGGGAGCCCCAGAGTGCAAAAAGGAGGTGTCAGTGGCATGATCAGCTCACCCAGGAATGATCCTTCTATAACCACACCCTGTCACACTGGTTGAAGTTGAGTGTTTATGGGGCACCACTAAAGTTACTGGGTCACATCCTTAGCTAGTGTCAATTCACACGGCTCTACTGAAGTGCTACCTAAGTGGCATCCTGGAGCTGGACAAGAACAGGAGCTGGCATCTCTTGATTCCACCTTGCAGACTGGAGGACAAACGATGCTTCTGTGCAGCACTCCATAGAATTTATTGGCCACTAAACGGATGTGTGTTGTCTTCTAAAGTTACCAGCATAGGTCACTGTGGGTACATCAGTTCTTGAAAATAGGGTTCTGCTGAGTTCCTTTCAGGGGTTGCTGAACTCATATGGACTGATGGCTCATCTGGATGCATTAATTAACCCCTTCATTATCTTCTAGGCCAAACCCCAAAGAGTGTGGCTAATCTTTTGAACTGAAGTCAACGGAGGTATCATCCATTGAAAGCAGCCAAGGATTTGGCCCATTAATCTTAGAAGAAAGAGCGCAAACTATAGCAGCTGTCACAGGATTTCTGGGGAACAAGCAACAGAACACTGAACACTATGCAGGCACAAATGCCACACTGGAGCAATGGATTATAACCACTCCCCTGCGCATGATGGGACTAGACAGACCTCGAACCTAATGTACGCAAAGATTGTGCACAATACAATATGTTCCAACACTGATGATGAGGGCAAGCTATCTGTTTCATAACAGAAACCAAAAAGAGTGGGGCTGTCACAGTGTGTCTGATGCTGGCAGACACTTTGTGTGACAAGCTGGTCTTCAGCCCTTGGAATGAGGGGATACAGAAGTGCCTATTGTCTGAGCCATATCTCACAGGCAAAAAGGCTGTGGAAATTGCAGCCCTGGGAATCCCTAGTGCTGAATATTCATACAAAAAGGTACAAGATTGCAAAGGAAATGTCAAAAAGTCTCAGAGGGGTGGCTGTGTTAGTCTGTAACGTTAAAAACAATGAGTAGTCCTGTGGCACCTGAGAGACTAACTATATAGTATCATGAGCTTTCATGGACAAAACCCACTTCTTCAGATGAGCTGGAAGCTGGAGTGGAAATAACAGGAACCCAGAATTTATGACAGAAAAAGAAGGGAAGAAAAAAGGTACATGTGAATTGTAGTACAGGTGCTAAGGAGGCTAACTGAGTGATCTAGAAGTTAAATGCAGGGAAGGCTGTCTATATAATATGACATCCAGTTAAAGTCTTTGTTCAAGCCAAGGGAAACAGTGTCAAATTTGCATATGAAGGTCAATTCTGCACTTTCTGTAATTGGCTTGTGAAATTCCTTTATAGAAGAATAGCTACTTTTAAATCCATTTTGTATCCTCATCCGCATCTGTATCAACAAAAATGAACTGCAGATATCCGCATCCATATCTGTGGATGTGGATACCTGATTTGCAGTGCTTTACGTACCTATGCTGCAAGCAATGAATGAGATTCCCTGCTGAAAGAGGACCAGTATCAAACAGAGCAGACATGTGAAAACCATGTCTTACATGCTGCAGTTACAATTAGCAACTTTTGGCCTTTCAGATGCTAGGATCATTCATTTGATGAATCAGCAGAAAGTCCAAGAATTTCAGATCCAGAACGTGTGAACGAAACATTCAGCTCTTCCATTCTCAAGACTTTTCTGTTGTTGGAATAAACAGATCATTCTGTATCAGCTTCCTTTTCCACATCAGTAACTGATTGCGTTGGGACATCTGTTTCACATGCACCATGTTGCAATGAATTTTCCAGTTCCACTATACCAAAACCCATACTTATTTCAAGATGAATTAAACGACCTCCTCATCATTTTAACTGTAACACAGAGTAGCAAGGCCTGTGCTTTAGAGGAGAGCAATCCCTGGGCAAAGCCAGAATTGGAGAATAGTTTTTTACTTAATAACAGTTATGTTAATCAAATATTCCTTTTGGGGAGGTGGGGAGATATTGCATCTTGGTATTCAAATGATTATCTTAAAATTACACCATGGCAGCCATCTTCAGTTTATGTCACAGTGGATAGGCAGCAGAATAGTCTGCCACTTATCTACAGCTGGTTGGTGTGATTTATCTTTATGAGAATCTCTTTGTTCCAAAGTTAACAGAATGCTCCACACACCTTTGTTGACCATTTGGAAAGAGAGGTTTTCCATAGAACTGTGTGTACACTTAGCAAATGAGAAATTACAGATATAATACCACAGGGAACAGAGTGAACCATAAATTCATCAAAGCCAGAGCCACTGTAACCTAGTGCTGCACTGAACAATGTGGAAGAAATGCTGTAAAATCCAGACCTTTGTGAGCTGTTATGTTCCCAGCTAGCCCACTCCTACAGTTTGCTCAGCATGCTGACTTTCCAAGAGTTCTCTCCATGTTGGAATCAGCCACCTGTCTCCTGCCAGACCCCAGACAGGAACAAGACTGGCTGACAAATACCATATGTTAGCCTGGCCAAAGGAGGCCTAACTGTATTTTGTTTAGTTTGTCTATTTAACTGGTTTGCTGTTAACAAGGCTGTTTTTACAAGATCACATCTGTATATGGTTGAATTTTTCTGTCTATATGTGAACTGGAGGAGATCAGAGGCCCCTGCCCTTATTTTTTCCCTTAGAAATGTAATAGTCTGCCCTCCTCAACTGCAGAAATGGAGGTGGTAAGAAGTGTGAATAACAATTATAACCAAGCCCACCACCACCAAAAAGTGATGAGAACCCCTTCTCCCTCCCCGGTTAAAATCATCCATTGCACAGTTCTGTGCATGTGATGAGAATGTTTATTCTGATCAGAAACTCCCACCCCCCCCAACATTTGGCAGTACTTTCAAACTGAGGGCGCACAGAATTCTGGGTAAATAATATCTAAACACAGAGTAAGTCTATCTCAAAGGTCATCAAAACCTGAGTAGGGCTGATGGCAGAAAGTAGCTAGATGTGGACTCCTGTTGCAACTGCATACATCCCGAGTCATTCCATTGAAGTCAGCATAAGAGAGATCAGAATCTGATCTTAGAGCCAGATCTGGCCTTTTCAAAGATTCAGAACTGCTGGGCTCTTAGCAGCATGCCCCAATGGGGAAAAACTCAGGGGACCTGCATTCTATTTCCAGGTCTGCCATGTCTTTTTGAGAAAGTCACTTCACTTTCTTCTGCCCTTTCCTCTCCTCCTTTGTATCTGTCTTTTCTCTTTAGAGTATAAATGATTTGGGGCAGGGACTGTCTTCTAATATATGCTGACACTAAGCCAGTGAGGGTTAAACAAGCAGCAGGCTAAGTGACTCAAGATCAACCTTTAAAAATATATTAGAGAAATATTACCATGGTAAACAGGGCCATTTCTTGTAGACAGTTATCTAAGCCATGTAAGCTGGCTAAATCCTTTGAAATGCAAACCTATATTGCTAGAGAATTAAAAGTAAATACTAATTGTATCTGTTAGGAGTTTAATAATGTGTTCTAATGAGCAATAAATGCTTAAACTTTGGTTCCTGTCTGTATTACTATATTCCATTGATTCAGAAATCCAAAGGCAATATTAACTATTAGATGAAACTTGAGTGTAATGGGATCATTGTCTTTATTTCTCTTTGAGGTTTGTAGTAAACTATCTGCAAACCTTTGAATTGTAAATTTTTTATGCTAATCAGTGCAACTAATTACCTGTGTATACATAGGAAATAGGAATTGACTTCAAAGCAACCATGTATATTACCTATTCTTCACCCAAGAAATGTCCACTGTGCTATTTGCTATCATAACCTGCCAGAGAGCTATAAAAGAGCTTTGGGACCTGATCCTTGTTTCGTCTCAGATCTGCTTAAGCTTGGTCAGGGGAAGTTTAAATCACAATACTGAGGTCTCCAGCTCCAGACCGGATTACCCTGCTGTGACACTCTGCACCTACGGGGAGCTCCCTGTAACCCCCATATTCCTCATTTTTATCTTATTGTGATTTTACATATAAAGCGAGCCTTGGAAAGTATAAGGGGAAAGGTTATGATGTGCTGAAATCATTTTGCTAGCCAGATGAACTTATGAGTTTGTGTTGCATGCCTGTCACTAAAACATGCTGTAAATTGGGGAATCAGCTGGATATTAGCTTCCCAGAGAAAACAGCAAGGAGAGTAACCAATGCTGGGGTGGGGCAATGATGGCCATTGTCCAGCAAGGGTGCTAAAATGCAATGACTCACCTTCATGAGGCTACGCCAGGAGAATTGCTCAACTTTGTCTGGTAACTCAGCAGTGCCCCCAGACATGATCTTCCCAAGCACATGAACTGAAGGTATAAAAACCAAACACAAAGGTCTTTGCTTGGCCTTTTTCCTGCCCACCATGCTGCAAGCAACAAGGACACTAGTCTAAAGACTCCAGCAAAGGGAACTGGCCCAAATTTCAAAGGTGAAATCTGTTACTATGGACTGCAGTATCCAGTGGGGTGAGAAAAACTGCTTAACCTAGTTGTTGCCCAGTTTCATAGTGCTGAGAGTTTAAACTGCTTCCTTTCCTTTCCTTTCCTTTCCTTTCCTTTCCTTTCCTTTCCTTTCCTTTCCTATTTGCCTGACACTGATAGTCATTTAAATTCCATCTTTGTAGTCAATAAACTTATTTTCCGCTTTATCTTTACCAGTTAGTTTGTGTGACGTGGCAAATCAGCACAAAAGCTGGTGTATGTCCATTTTTTATTGATGAATTAGTCAGCCAATTAGTAAATTAGATGGTATATTCCTGTGGTGCAGTACTGAGAGCCAGTAGGATTTAGCTGATGCTTTACTCTGAGGCCATGTCTTCACTCCGCAGAAGATCGACGCTGCAATCGATCTCCGTTCAATTTTCTGAGTCTACTTAAAATTGCTGAAGCAAACTCAGAGGCCACCTCTTCTGGCATCCAGTACTCTTGCTCTTGCCAGGAATGAGGGAAGCCAACAGGAGCAGTTCCCGTCAACCTCCCATTGTGGGGATGCCACCTAGCTCTGCTTAAGGTAATCCTACTTAGCTAGGGTTGCGTATCTGAAGTCTAGCTGCTGGATCTAGCATAGACCTGGCCTGAGAGATTTATGAGTGGCTCTTGGAGCATTCATGCAGTCTGTCTGGGTGATGGGCTCCACATGCAGCTGTGCTAGGTGCCTGAAGGGGTTGCTGCTGGTCACTCGCAAGGCATTGCAAAAGATAGCCCAGGCTGGAGAGAGTTAAGGGGACACAGCAGTCCCATGGTTCCACGTCCCATCACACCTGCTACTTCTCATGGTAAAATGTAAACAGATGCTGCACATGGACTATGTATTGGGTAGCAATTTATGAAACTGATTCTGGAAGAACTTTTTGCAAATCAGCAGCTCACCCTCTCTACTATGAAAATGATCTAAGAATTTCCCTCATATTTGTACATAAAATGATCTTTAATCACAGTAACACTCTCTCTCTCTCTTTTCTAATAAATTATAGATTAGTTGATAAGAATTGGCTGTAAGCATGAATTCTGGTAAAATTTGGACCATTCATTGATCTGGTGGGTAATATGTCTGACTGCTTGGGATTGGTGGAACTTTATATATGCTTTAAATGATTCCCACCATATTTGACTTAGCTGACTGGGTGGAAACCCAGGGCAGGATTGCTTTAAGGGAGCTGTATTTTCAGCTTCTGGGTAACCAGTTAGGTTTGGTAGAAGTTGTTTTCTTGTTGGGTTGGTGAATCTAAAAATTAGAATAAACCACCAGTTCAGGGGAAGGGGAGGGCAGGTTGTCTGCCCCATTCTTTGCAGTTTGCCCTGGTTGAGCAATCTCAATGAGATCCCTCCAGCAACTACAGTCACAGTGGCTATGTCTAGACTGGCATGATTTTCCACAAATGCTTTTAACGGAAAAGTTTTCCGTTAAAAGCATTTGCGGAAAAGAGCGTCTAGATTGGCACGGACGCTTTTCCGTAAAAAGTGCTTTTGTGGAAAAGCGTCCGTGCCAATCTAGTCGCGCTTTTGCACAAAAAAGCCCCCATCGCCATTTTCGCGATCGGGGCTTTTTTGCGCAAAACAAATCTGAGCTGTCTACACTGGCCATTTTGCGCAAAAGCTTTGTGCAAAAGGACTTTTGCCTGAACAGGAGCAGCATAGTATTTCTGCAAGAAGCACTGATTTCAGACAGTAGGAAGTCAGAGTTCTTGCGGAAATTCAAGCGGCCAGTGTAGACAGCTGGCAAGTTTTTCTGCAAAAGCGGGTGCTTTTGCGGAAAAAACTTGCCAGTCTAGACGCAGCCAGTATGTTTCTACACAGCATAACGTAGTGAGGATCCAATGTAAGTGGGAACCTTTGGGCACTACCATAATACATGTCATAATAACTTTGGATCAGCCCATCACAGAGGGGCTAGCTGCAACATTTAGACTGGGATTGAAACATCCCCCTCAAAATGAACTCTGGGCATACATTTGGCCTCCCAAGCATTCTGGACAAACTTTGGCTCTGCTGCAAGCAATTATGTGTTGTAAGATTCATGTTGGTTAGGACAGTGTTTCTCAACCTTTTTTAAATAAAGTAAAGTAGCCCCATTTTAAAAAAATACATAAGTACCCCAGAACCTACATTTTTTAGACACACACACATTTTTTCTACCATTACAACACATTTGTTTAAACAACTTAATTGTAGCCAGGTAGGTGATGAAATTTTTGGGTGTAAAAAGTACAAAAATAATCAAGCACTGTAAACTTAAAGTTTTCTCCAAATTTCAGTTGTATTGACGTACATCCCAGATTTCTCTCGAGTACCCCCAAGGGTACTCGTACCACTGGTTGAGAAACAGTGGGTTAGGACAGTGGCTTAAATGGGAGCTTGCACTAATTCGAGGTTCAGCGGGAGAACCTAGCATTCAAAACCAGTGTAGCTTCATTGCTATGAGAACAGAAGAGGAGAGATGAAACAAGAAAAGTATCTACCTGCTGCATGTAAGACAAAGCTTATAGCTTTGCTCCCCTTCTCCTTTACTCACCGTAAGCCCTGCTGTCAGTGGCTTTACTTGCTATGCCTCCTATTCTGCTCACTTGTTTAAAGTATCTCTTTTTTTGCACACTCACTGAACATCATAGCTGTGCAAGTTACACAGCCCGACCACTTACATTACAATTCTGGAGGTTTCACACTCTAGTCTATACCATCACATTCAGTTGTACTGTGTGGAACCACAGCAGATCAATCTGGTTTTGTGGCTATAACCAAGGTCCACATTTTTCCCTTTGTGGAATTTATACCACTGAATATAGTCCACACTCATTCCTGTAGCGTCACCCATGGACACATTCATTTGTTCACATAGCCACACATCTCCTTCAGCTACTTGTTCTGTTATCCACACACGTACTCAGCTTGATATATTCATCCTTTGCATGTGTGTACTGTATCACCCCCAAACACATTCTCCTTAACATAAGCGCAGGCTCATTCACAGACATTGACTCATACATACCTCTTATCTGTCCATTGGAAGTTTTTCTATATCTGCCATCATCATGTGGTTTTATCTGGTCATATCTAAATTAGGGATGGCCAATAATTTTTGATGGTGGGGGCACTCCAAGATTTTGGTAAGTGGTCAAGGACTGTACTTTTCTATGGAGGAGTTGCGGGGTCTGGGATGGAGGTTGGGGGCAGGAGGGAGCTCAGGATAGGGGATTGGGTGCAGGAGAGGGTGTGGGGTCCGAGAGTGTTTGGGTGAAGGAGGGGATTATGACCTGAGGCAGGGGATTGGAGTGCAGGATCCTAGAGTGGGTATGGGTGCAGGAGAAGATTCTGGCCTGGGGGAGAGGGTAGGAGGGAGTGCAGGGTCTGGGAGGGAGCTGAGGTATGGGAGGGAATAGGGTGCCAGAGGCAGGCTCTGGCCAGGCGGCCCTTATATAAGCAGCTCCCGGCCAGCAGCACTCTCAGGCAGGCTTCCCTGCCTGCCAGCAGTTCCGGACTGCTCTGTTCTATGTGTCTCTCTGCACTGCGGGGAGAGGGGGAGAATAGAAGACAGCCAATGGGAGCAGAGAGATTCTGCTGCAGGTGGGGGTAGTGTGTGAAGCCTTTCCCCCTCCCTGCAGCACAGAGAGCCTTGGGGAACAGTCAGCTGCTTTTAACAGCACTGATCTCTGCTGCAGGGGCAGGCCACAGGCCAGATGAAACGTCTTGGCAGTCCAGATGTGGCCCATGGGCCATATCTTGCCTGCCCCTTTTCTCTGTTCTATTCATTCCCTCTGCAGCATCTGGCTTTGGCCACTGTTTGGAAGACAGGATACTGGGCTAGATGGACCTTTGATCTGACCGAGTATGGCCGTTCTTATGTTCTTATACAGAACCCAGATGTATCTGCCCCCACTGTAAGTCATTAGGCTGGACTCCCCTCCCAGAGATGAGATAGAGCCGAGGAGTCCTCACAGTGTCTCACTTTGTTACTAATTCTGCAGAGAAAGAAAGTGTGACAGGTTGGACCATAGGCTTCTCCCTGGGTCTGTCACCCAGTGTGCTGGTCATGCCACTGAGTTTGTCAACCTGCCCGCTGGGGCACCCCAACACCCTATCCTGCTGCCCCAGAAGCTCTAGTCTCCCTCAGCCAACTCACAGAGATGGGGTAACAGTCCCCCAGCTGAGCAACAGAGACACTGAACTAGGGCAGCTCTGGGAGGGCTCAGCTAGAAGGCCATGGACAGCACCCAGGAACACAGCCTCAAAGAGGACCAAAACTTCAGATAAATCCATCTTACTCTGTATAAAAGTTTCACATAGAGAAAGCTTATAAGTTTGCCCTTTTGATCAATGAAAGAGAGATATGAACAGGGATTTCCTCTCCCACCCCACCACCACCCCAGGTAACAATTATTTACACTCTGCTTGATAATAAACAAAAGCATTTTATTAAGTATAAACAATAGGATTTAACTGCAAGTGAAAACAGACAGATTAAAGTAAGTTACTACTCCAAAATAAACAAAACACACCATCTAATCCTAATATACTAAGAAACTTGTTACATGCAAATTCTTACCCTAACAGTTGTTCTAATCATCTCATTAATCTTGGAAGCTTCCTAGCTCAACCCTAACAGTTGTTCTAATCATCTCATCAATCTTGGAAGCTTCCTAGCTCACGCTCAATCCTTCCCCCATTCAGTCTTCGATGTTTCCAGCAGGCATCTTGGGTGTTAAGTAGGGATCTGGTTTCCTGGCATCTGGCCACTACTGCTATTGTTTGGTTTCCTGCTTTTATATTACATTTGCCCAAGGCAGGAATTCTTTGTGATCAGTTCAAACTTTTCTCAAACCTTGAGTGGAAAAGTACAAGATCCAAAATGGGTTCCAGCAGCAGATGGCCTAGCTGCATATCCTGGCATGACCAACCACAACTCAGACTTACAGGAAAAACAAAACCATTTACA